CTTATTTTTCCACTGCAGTTCTGCATGAAATTCTATAATTCGTTACATGAAACTCATGAAACTCTATAATGAAACCCTACTAGTTTTAGTCAGTAAGTTAAAATCCTTTCGGGTATTCGATCTCAGTGGGAAGAAAGCGCTTTGGCACGTAGCTCGAATAACGCAGTTGCTAAGAGGAGCTACCTGCTAGCAAAACTGTCGATGTCACTCTTTCGAGGGTTGCATAGAAGTAAGCTAATAGCGGATTTGATCGCCTAACTTAAGCCAAACCAATTTACCATCGAAATGAATGAACGAATCGTAGAGCGATTGATTTCGCCAGCGACGAAGTCGAGCGCTCGGCGTACTGTATAGCAAAAGGGCAGCTTCTTAATGCATGCACTAATTTCTGATTTTGTTTTTTTTTTTTTGCGCTGTTTTTCATTCACGTTTGACGATGCTTTTCATCGCTTTTTTAAACGCTTGGAAAAATTCAGGACAGAAACTCACATTTCCGTCGCTGCTCGTTATGTACTGACTACTTTCGCGCCACTCCTGATTTATCCTTGCCAGTAGTGCATTGCTCGCTCCCTGCTCTTCATGACTTGATAGCCAATGTGCTCTGCGCGTGGAAGAGAAACGAGCTTGCTGTCTGAATGCTTCAATCGCGTCCTCATTGTTCAATTCACTGTGCACACTGAATGGAATTCCGTTTTTTTCTAGACGCCTTTCACCATAATCCTGCAATAAAAAATAAATTATTTTCAAATCAAGAGCGGGAAGAAAGAAAAAATATTGCTGAAATTGCTCGCAAAAAGTTCTGGAATTCTTGAATTTTTGCCATGATTTTTCGCAAAGCAATGCACACCAGTTGTTGCGCTTGAAGTGATCCTTGTGTGCCTTGTTGTTCAACGTCAGACGGCGTCATCCTGTGTTCCGAGGGATCGTATCGGTCAAAAGCGCCTGTTTCACTATGGCTAAACACTGGAACGTGTACTGCTCGATGTACCGACAAATCCATAGGCTAAAAACAAAAATAAATAGCAGCGCACCAAGATCCCTAGTTGCAATCACTTGTGCAGCTCAATCCAGGAAAACTTTGTCATTAAAAATGCCCATTGCATTACTACTTGGTACGTACAGAAATTTTTGTAGTTCCCGAGTTACTAACTTTGGCACCAAAAATTTTACGTCTCCGTACGTGAGACCTAGGCGCAAGCAAGACTAAGCGTTATTCTGAAATTTCGGCTTTCTGGCTTCCATGGATCCCTAGCTGTTAATCTCGGTGCTAAAAATTTCTCCTGCAGGATGCATTCTGAGATCTAAACGTGCCGGGGAAATGGGGCTGAATTTGAACTTCCAGGGTACGCAGGCAGAGGCATTCTCCTAAAATTCTAACTTTTCTAGCTTCTGAGTTAATAATTATCGTGCCAAAACTTTCACATGCCCGTACGCGGGACCTAGGTGCTCGTGAAGGCTGAATCTAATTTTACTGGGTCAAGCGCAAACAAGCAGCATTGCTATAAAATTTCAGCTTCCTAGCTTCTGTGCTTCCTAATTTGTTAATTTAGACGCCAAAATTTTCACGTGCCCGTACAAAAATGGGCACACGTGGATGCTGGACTTGAGTTTGCAAGATTACACGTTGATAAAAGATCCTCCTTAAAACTTTAGCTCTTAGCTTTTCAGGTTCCGAGTTGAATCCCTGGACAACGTGCACTTGGAACATATACCCACAGACAGAATCTAGAAATATGCGTTTCATGCAACAGAGTAAAACGCATAATTATTCATTTATAACCTTTAATAAATTCGAATCCGCAAAATGCCGCTTCGTTTTTATGTTTTAAAAGAATCAAAGCACGCTCTAAATTTCATTGAGATGGGGATATCTGGAGACAGCCGAGTTCTTTCCTTGCTTACATTTTAAAGTCTTTCGTTTACATTTGACAACGCTCTCTGCTACTCTTTTACGCGCTTTCACAATTTCTGGGCAGAAACTCACACTTCCTTCGCTGTTTGACATATCCTGACTACCTTCACGCCAGTCCTGATTCGTATTTGCCAGCAGTGCACTGCTCGCTCCCCGCTCTTCCTGACTTGATGGCCAATGCACTGTGCGAGTGGAAGAGGAACGAAATTGCTGTCCGAATGCTTCAATCGCGTCCTCATTGTTCGATTCACTGCTCACACTGAACGGAATTTCGTTTTCTTCTAGCTGCCTTTCTCCATAATCCTGTAGAAATTAAACTGTTTTCAAACCAAAAATTGGAAGAAGAGTTTTGCTGAAACTGCTCGCAAAAAATTCTGAAAATCTTGAATTTTTGCTAGTGATTTTCCGCGAAGTAATGCAGACCTGTTGTTGTCCTAGAAATGATCCTTGCATGCTTTGTTGTTCAGCGGTCAACGGCGTAGTCGTGTGTTTCGAAGAATTGTATTTCTCAAAAGCGCTTCTTTCGCTACGGCCAAACAATGGAACACGCATTGTTCGATGCATTGATAGATCCATATGCTAAAAACAAAAACTATTCTATTATTACTCTTTCCAGACTGATGTTCGCAGAACGTCGCTTTAACTGTACGTTTTAAAAGAGTCTAAGCATCCTCCAAAATTTCACTGATGTGAAGATATCTGGAGGTAGCCCGAGTTCTGTCTTTGCTTACATTTACAAAATATCTCGTTCACATTTTGACAATGCTTTCCACCACTTTTCTACACAACTGCACAAATTTTGGGCAGAAACTCACACTTTCCTCGCTGCTCAATATGTCCTGACTCCTGCTTGCCAACATTACACTGCTAGCTCCCCGCTCATCCTGACTTGATGGCCAACGTACTCTGCGATTGGGGGAACGACTTTGCTGTCTGATTGCCTCAACCGCGTCCTCATTGTTCAATTCACTGTACGCAGTGAGTGTCGGAACGCCGTCTTCTTCCAACCGCCTTTCTCCATAATCCTTCAAATCGTTTTCAAATCTGCTAAAGTGAAACTGGAGAAGGGAAAAGGCCGTGTTGGAAACTACTCGCAAAAAGTTCTGGAATTTTTGAATTTTTGACAGTGATTTCCCGCAAAGCAGTGCATACCAACTGTTGCCATTGAAGCGGTTGTCTAGCGCCCGGCGGGTTGTATCTTTCGAAAGCGTTTCTTTCGTTATAGCCAAGCGCCGGAACATAAATTGCTCCACGCATCGACAGATCCACAGGCTAAAAATAAAAATTAAATCCTTAATAAATTCGGCCCCGCAAAACGTCGCATTGGTTGTACGTTTCAGAAGGGTCAAGCACTCTCCAAATTACACTGAGGTGGAGATATTCGGAAGTAGCTGTATCACTCGTTGAAAAACTTTTGCCTTCGAATGGTCGCGTAAGCAAGCAGCAGTCTTAATCAGCCAGCGCTAATTTCTCAGCAAAACAAATGACCGAATCGTGGAGCGATTGGTTCCTCAGCAAAGAAGTCAAATGATCAACAACCACTATCACCATTTACAACGGACCCGCCATCTTCGCATCCTACATATTCCTTTCAGATTCTTTTGTAATCAAACTTACGCTTCCGTCGTTGTCGAAGATGTCTTGATTGCTGTCATGATGGTTTTGATATGCATGTATCAGCGGTGCATAGCTTGCTTCCGGCTCTTCCTCTCTCGAAAGCCAACGCGCCCTAGGTGTGTACAAGCGCGCTCGTTGTCTTGCTAGCCGAATCGCTTCCTCATTGCTCAGTTCAGTGTGCAAATTGAACGGTATCTGTTCGTCCATTCTCCTTTCATCATCCTGTGAAATTTAAGCCTTCTTTGAAACAGTTTGAGACGGGACTAAGAAAAAGAGAAGGGGAATTTGGAAAGTTTTGAACTTTTGTCAGGCCAAAAAGTAGTGCACCATTTGTTGCTCTTGAAGTTGAGTATGTTCCGCTTGCAACTGCACAGTTTCAGGATTCGACAGCATAATCCTTTGGTTTTCAGGACTGTATCTCTCGAAAGTGCTTCTTCCGTTACTATCAAGCTCTGGATCAAGCGCCATTTGTTGTAACAATCGGTTAATGGACTAAAAGCAGGATAAGTACTGGCCAATTAACGTGACTAGAAGCTTGCAATGAAAAATACAGGAGAGGAAAACTGTTGAAACTGCTCTACCGTTGTAGACTGCTTCATAGATTTTTTATATCTATCGTTTAAATTCAAAAACAGTCGACGACGTTTCGAAATAATGTTTTCAATCAGGCAAGAAAGTAATCTTCTTAGTCCCCAGCAATTTTCCAGTGTCTAATATTTCTTAAGTGCCTCACCATTTATTAATATCTGTCCCTCAAAAAACATTTATAATTTTGCTTAGACAAAAACTGACTCAGCAAAGTGCCCTCGAAATTTCTTTGAAAATCTCTGATTTTTTTTTTAAATTAGTAGAGCACCAGTTGTTGCGTTCGAGGCTGTTGTCGTTCTACTGGTGTTTGTGTTGTTTGTTGTTCATCGTTCGATCGCACAATCCAACGTTCTTTTGGTTTGTATCTCACGGTGGCGTTTTGCTCGTGTTGATCATCCAATGAATCGTTTGCTGTTTGTTGTACCAGTGGGCCGGTAGGCTGAGGATGAAAATCACTGACGATAGGCACTAAGTGGACCCGTGCGATCAAGGGGTTTTGCAGTATTTCGTGCTGTAATGAGATCGCTTGGGATTCAAGTAGCCAGAATTTGTGACATACTGGTTTAGGAAGTTAAATGTGCAACTACGTAGTTTCTAGCCACCCAACATCTGCACAAACACATACGTATGGAACCTATGTCATCGATTCCTTCACCACTACCACAGTTGAAATTTGTAAAACAAAGTACTTCTTCCTTCTAAAAACAGCTCCTACACTATTCAAAAAATTAGGAAACGTTCCAGAATGTTCTTTCGCATGGACAAATATTACCTACGTCACTGATCCACCACACAGAACACACCAGTCCATTTCGTGTCTAGAAGTTTCTTTTAGCCTTTGCCCTACCCCAGGTTCTAACATGTCGCACATCATAGTCTACTCCACCCCCCCTCCCCCCCTTTCATTCATCACTCTACACAACCGTCAGCTTGCACCGTCGCCCTTCCCGCTTTTATTATTTTTTTAAAAAATTCTTTTTTTAAAAAAAATCCTTCTTTTTAATAAAAAACTTTTAATACATTGCCTTGTTTAAAATGTCCGCGTTGTTTTTACGTCGCAACTATGTGGTTACCGGATTTAGGACCTCTTTCTCTACAGTCTATTCTCTACACATTTTTTACATGTCTCTTACGTTTCTTACTAGTTTCACCTAGCCTTCGACCTTCCAGCTCTTTACTGCCCCTATATGTTAAATCCCATTGCTACGTTTACCACTCAAAACCTATTACTCCTACCACCTTCGTACGCACTGACCTGTCGTACGTCTCGCTTTACAATACCATTTCCTCCTTACGTCTCCCTTTTCAATACCATTTTCAGGCCACTTCATCATTTGGAGCTGCAAGCTCCTGGCTTCTTACTTCCCTTACATCTTGAACCATCTGTCACACCGCCTTCTGCGGTACACGTCAGGAACACCTATGCAATCAACGCTACTCACTATGAAGATACATCGTCCGTACTTCATGGCTTTCTGCACCTCTAGGGTGTTATAGGCCGAACGGATGGGCGACTGCCTGCATCCGTCTCGAGCCTTTTGGCTACAGGCAGTTGGCCGTCTGGGGATGAGCCAACGCCTGCGTCCCCGACGCGCCTAATGGCTACAGGCGTGGGCTTCCGCAACGTTTCCACTACTTATTACGTGGCCCACTCCGACAATTGCTATGATATTTCGTTTGATCCTACCAATCCTCTCCCTAGTACTGTGCCCTGCGGACGTAACTGCAGATGCTGCGCATTCATCTCAGGATCTCAGTACACTCGCAGTTTTGCTACTGGAGAACGCTTCGCCGCCACTTGCACCTTACCTCGCCACCCGCCTACGTGTTCTACACGTGGAGTCGTATACTGCATTACATGCAGACGCTGTGGACTACAGTATATTGACCAAACCAAGCGAAGCCTGCGAGCTAGGGTTTCAGAACACGTTCGTAATGTTCGTCTTGACACTTCTAACAGTGTCCTGTATACTCACTTTCGCAAACATGACCACTCCGTTCCGACATGTCCTTTCAAGTTCTTGAAGTCGTAAACGATATGCATCGACTGACTGACGCTGAATTCTTTTGGATACGATTATTTCAGACTATTTGTCCTTTCGGTTTAAACGACCACATTAAGGGATTTGGCTTTGTTACTCAGGAAGCAATTTCCTGTACTAAAATTATCCCATACTTCTCCGTACCTCTCCCGCGAATCAACCGGCGACACGGACGAAGACGTCGGACTTCAAAATTTATCAACCACGGCTTCATCGATTCGGCTCTTAGTATGACTTTCGACAACCCCACTGGATTTCACGCCTTTGTACGCGCCTTACATAATCAAAGTAACCGAACTCTCACTGTCACTCTCTACCGAGTAAATAAATCTAATCTAGTGGGTGCTCTTCTTTGGCACGTGATTAGTTCACACCTCTTCGCTAGGCACCCTGCTTCACAGCAATTAGCGGTTCACAGTTATGCGTTTCGAGGCGTTATGCCTTATCCTGGACCAGCTTACGACCGTGTTAGTTACAGTCGTTTGGTTCAAAATCGTACCTTTCGACGTTTATGTGACGGCATCTCCGTACCCCGATTCACTATAACCTTTAAGCATGATCCC